AGATGAAGGTGGAGGTGGAGATAGAAGTGCAGATGGAGGTGGAGATAGAAATGGAGGTGGAGGTGGAGATAGAAATGGAGATGGAGGTGGAGATAGAACTGGAGATGGAGGTGGAGATGAAGGTGGAGGTGGAGATAGAAGTGCAGATGGAGGTGGAGATAGAAATGGAGATGGAGAAGGAGGTGGAGGTGGAGATAGAAGTGCAAATGGAGGTGGAAATAGAAGTGGAGATGAGGTAGAGATGGAGGTGGAGATAGAAGTGGAGGTGGAGATAAAGGTGGAGATGGAGAAGGAGATGGAGGTGGAGATAGAACTGCAGTTGGAGGTGGAGATGAAGGTGGAGGTGGAGATAGAAGTGCAGATGGAGGTGGAAATGGAAGTGGAGATGAGGTAGAGATGGAGGTAGAGATAGAAGTGGAGGTGGAGATAAAGGTGGAGATGGAGAAGGAGATGGAGGTGGAGATAGAACTGCAGTTGGAGGTGGAGATGAAGGTGGAGGTGGAGATAGAAGTGCAGATGGAGGTGGAAATGGAAGTGGAGATGAGGTAGAGATGGAGGTGGAGATAGAAGTGGAGATGGAGGTGGAGATGGAGAGCGTCCTACCAATAGTTTTCCACCCAGGGGAAATCAAACCCCAAATGTCTTACATGCAAGACACAAAGCTCCATCCCTGACTTTTGCCTTCATCCCCAAATCCAAAGAATTGGGGGGGGGGGTATTAGAATTAAATTCACCAGCTCTTCCAGGCACGGATCTGGGACATGAATCCTTGTGATGCAATGCTTTCTGCACCATTCATCTCGTCCCTTAGAAATCAGTGGCCACTCACCCATCACAATAAGGAGGCTACAGAAAGCCACCCTAAAGCTGGAGGAAGGGGAAATGCCAGCTGGTTTGCCAAGCATACCTTTTCAGCGATCATGCTGGCCAAAGATCAGAGGAGTGACGCGGACCAAGAGCATGAAACAGGATCTGGACTTGCTCTCACTCTGCTCCAGATTCGTTATCAAGAGAAGCTATCCAAGAATTTGATTAGTTCTCTTTCCCCAACAGGAGCTCCAGTTACATGTCCCAAGCCCATCACCACTAGCACAGATGCCGTGAAGGGTAGATGGCATCAGCAAGCAACTTGTGTGCAGTGGAAATCCATCCCAGAGATCTATGAAGGTCTGCTCCAACAATTGACAGGTTTCCAGAGACCAGTGTTTCTCAACCGTGGTCACTTCTGGCTGGAGAATTCTGGGAAGTCCACACATCTTCAAGCGGCCAAGATTGAGAAATACTCATCCAAGGAGAGAAGTAGGAACCCACCACTGATGTGACCATTCAGGACTGCCATGGCTTTGTTTTGAGATCACTCCTACCAGATCAAAAAGGAGGTAGAGTGGGGAGGATTTTGGGACATCCAAAGCCATCCAACCATTTAGCTTGACCTTGTATTGTACTTTTCACTTCCGTTGTTGTTAGTTGTGAAGTTGTGTNATAGACACCAATGATTGTTCCACAAAATATTTCCTGCCAAGATGGATTTAATTTCTTGCTGAGGACTGTGGGTGAGAATTACACATCCATACAGTTCAACGGATTGATCACTCTGAGCTTCTTTGCAGATTGTAGTGTAATGTAACTGTAATTCTTTCTAGATTGTAATGGAGAGCACATTTTAGCAGGAACTCTATATTCTTTTGCAGAGAGACCTGCTACTTGGAATATGCAAGGAGATAATGGTAGGTATGAACCTATTCTTTGCTAAATGACACTGCAGTCCTACATAATGGTGTGCAGTCTCCAATACAACATTGTATTTTAAAAATGGCATATTTCTCAAGAGCCCATAATAATACAACTGTGAGCACTCATGCATCCCAAGCAAACTCTTCCTTTATAATTTTGGGTTTTCTTTCCCTTGGGCATTCTCAAACAATCCAACGGTCATACTGCCATAAGTTTTGCCTTTTTTTATTCAATCAGAGGGAAATAAACAATGCAGACAAATCAAACTACTGTGACTGAGTTCATCCTTGTTGGATTCATGGACCACCCAGAGCTTCAGATCCCCCTCTTCGTTTTCTTTCTACTCATCTATCTCATCACTCTGGTGGGAAACATTGGGATAATCATTGTAACAAAAATTGATGCTAGGCTTCACACACCCATGTACTTTTTTCTTAGAAATCTCTCTGTTATAGATCTTGGCCTTTCTACCACCATTGCCCCTAAATTGTTAGCAACATTTATGATAGAACATTCGACTATTTCCTTCACAGGATGCACCACACAATTCTTCTTTTTTGTCATTTTTGTGACCACTGAAGGTTGCATTCTGGCTGTGATGGCATATGATCGCTTCATAGCAATCTGCAACCCATTGCTGTATTTTGTTGTCATGTCAAAGAAGCTTTGCATCCTCTTAGTCATAGCTGCCTATACTTGTGGCTTTTCAAGTTCAATGGTGCACACTATAGTTATTTTTAACTTGAATTTCTGCAGCTCAAATAAAATTAATCATTTTTTCTGTGACGTTCCTCCCATGCTTCAGTTGTCCTGTTCAGATACACACATTACTCGCATTGTGCATTTTATTTTATCTACTGCAATTGCACTGACAACCTTTTTGACTGTTTTGATCTCCTACATTGCCATTGTTATTGCCATCCTGAAGATCAGCTCTGCCCAGGGAAGATACAAAGCCTTCTCCACCTGTGCCTCCCATCTCACCACTGTGACCATTTTCTTTGGAACCATCATCTTCATGTAT